ACATTTAAACCGAAGCCTTTTTTATAAACCGGTTAAGAGAATTCAAATTTGGATTAGATCGGTCCATACCATGGTTCCGGAACCAAAATACGTCCCACTCAAATCCAGTCCACACTATAAACAAGATACTGAAACATCAATTTTTTACGAATGAGAAAACTTTACATAGATTTTGTCAAATGTTTATGAACAATTCACATTCTTGAGATTCAGGCCTAAAATCGATTACAAAACTCAGTCATTAGCTATCCTCTAAACGAATGCAAAGCTTTCGCCGCCTTAAAGCCCTCTCGATGAATATGTGATCCAAAACTGACTGTTCGCTCTCATACTTCCTCAACCTGCAAAACCAGGAATATACAGAAAAATTGTCATATCAAAACCAGAAATGTAGCCGCGTTGAAATTGGAATATCGGATAACTTGGAATCAACCTGAGGAAGGTTCATGAGCTCAAGAACAGCTTTAGTTGGGGTCAGCTCGTTATCTATTATCTTAGCTACTGCTGTTAAAACCGGCAACTTCACATTGTATTTCTGTGCTAATGCTATAACTGCCCCGGCGGTTGCTACACCTTCTGCAACCTGTGCAGCAGTAGTTATTGAATTGCAAGTGTCAGACTCAACCAAAAGGCAAGCGAGACAAATGAGATACACACCTGATTCATGGAGCTTAGTATGTCATCTAGTGTCTCCCCTGACCCTAATCTGACTCCAACTGTTCGGTTTCTTGAAAGATTCACGAAGCATGTGAGCATTATGTCACCAGTTCCTGATAAGCCAGTTATGGTTGTTGGCTTTGCACCCATCTTCATACAAGCAAGACAACAACATCCAGAAAATGCAGTGAACACATGTTTCAGTAATCATTGTGGTGACTTGTTTTGATATTGAATGTACTACCTTTGTGGCTAACCATCTTATCTCTGAACAACCTTGTGATACAAGAGCTGCCATAGAGTTGTTACCGAGTTGCATCCCATCAACAATTCCTGCGGCTATTGCTAGAACATTCTTCAGTGCACCCGCAATTTCCACGCCTGTAACATCACTGGAATGATCAGAGGTTACAAGCTGAGCGCACAAAACTCCCTCAAAGAATTAAGAAATCAACCATTAGAGCTCAGTCACTAACACCGTATATACTCAAGACATGAACAAACTATCAAGCAGGTAGGCAAAGGCATCCACAAAAAGTCATGAAATTCAATGGATTCTGGTTTATGAAGTGTTGTACCTGGAAGTATTTATTCTCAAGTAACTAGAAGAAAGAAGCTGCTGAACAGCATTGGCCAATTTCTTATCTTTCGAGGCAACAACCATTGCTGCAAGCAAACATTTCAAAACATTCAGCATTGGCAAAATATATTACGCTACTTGAATTCTTACAAAGCAAAACAAAAAAAAAGAACCAGTGGGTAAATTGTTCATCAACTCCAGAGCAAACGACGGGCCAGAAAGCGCAACAAAAGGTTGCCGAGGATTCTTAAGCGCAATGGGGATTATCTGAGACATCATCCTAAGAGTATTAAGCTCCAGACCTTTACTAAGTGATATAAAAGGCAATCCTGGATCAACATAACCGGAAATTCCCTCTAGAAACGATGAGCTGAACTGCAACAACAAGCCACATTAATCAGCAGAACATAAAAGCAAAATCAACCAAACCAAAAAAAACAAGAACTCAATAGGCTTTAAACCTGTACAGGTACTGCATGTAGGCAATAATCAGCATCAAGCAATGCAGATTTCGCATCAGTCGTAGCAATCACATTCTCAGGTAGCTTATGCTCAGGAAAATACTTACTGGTAACAAAGAAAACTCACATTATCCTCAAGAATTTATGAATTGTATTGGATAGAATTAACGGTATACATTACCAATTATGGTGATTCTCGTTGATAGATTGGCAAACAAAAGAATCACGAACAAGCATATTAACCTCTAATCCTTCTTTCCTTGTAGCTACATGAGCAGCCATTGCAGTACCAAACGAACCTCCACCAAGAACAACAACCTAAAACAAAACCCAGATTCTTTCAATTTCTTCCAACGCAAAAACGAAATTAAGATAACAAAACCAACCAACCTTGCGAGTACGCTCAAGAACATCGGTTTTAGCTTTGGCGCGCCACGAACGTGACCATCGAACCAGCTTCTCCCAAGCGATACGAACCACTTTACGCTGGTCCCGACTGATATTGATATCAGGCGAGTCAGGTTGGGGAAAATTTGATGGGGAAGAAACGCAACGGACGAAAAGTGCCTTGTGTTTAAGCATAGAAGGATGCTTCCCGGAGAAATGGAGGTCCAAGCATGCAGGTTGTACCGAAGCCGCCATTTTCGCAGAGAGTTGAAGAAGACGAGCACAAAGAGAAAACCCAACCAATCGGAGAGATTGAGAGTCGAGAGCGAGAATATTGTTTGGGCTGTAACAATATTAAATGGGCCTTATCTAAGTTGGGCCTTATAATAACCTCTTACCCCTTCGGTCGTTTGTTATCTTTGCGTGAGTGAGTGAGGAGGATTCCGGTTTCGGATTTTTGATTTTAGAAAAATGATAATGATAAGATAACTCTAGTTTAGACTCGAATTCGATTTCTTATAAAATATAAGTTGATAATGATTTCATGCCATGAGTTAATTTTCTATGTTTTACAATCTTCAAGATTTGAGATTTTTAGTTTCCAAAAAAAAATATTTGAGATTTTTGATATCATTTTTAAGAATTCGTTTACTAAA